GTACATGATCAGTGGTTATTCTTGTAACTAGTACATTTTCCACTGAATCAATATCAGTTTCTTTCCCACTTTGAGAGGGAATGGGACCACATATCATGTGGCCTCCTGCTGTTTTCAGCAAGTGAACATCATGTTTACTTACTATATTTTGCACAAAACAGTGATAATAATCACTTCAATGATTAAATCAATTGAACTAACTGTGTCCGTCTGTATGTCTGGACGGGCTAACCTGACATTGGCTGCTTTCAGTGCTGAAACTCTTTCTTTTAATCCGCGGATCTGCACAGACTTAGGCAAATCGTCTACTACCACAGCTTCAACTGTCTTTTTCCTGTTACCTAGACCAACAGTGAATTTCGCCAGGTCATATGTCTGTTTACCATAACTTTGAAAAAAACCTAGCTATATCTAACTGTATTTTGTCATCGGGTTATTTATTCAGTTTCTGTAACATTGTTCTTGTTATAAAAGACCTTTTTGAGCCTTGATCAAATAGTGTTAGCACACTGATTTTGTGTAATTTATTAGATAACATATTTTGAGCTATTGGGAGAGCAGTCGATTTAGACTTATCTCTCCCCTTTAATGCTGTTGTTTGTTGACTTCCTGTTTCTGTGAAGATCGTCTGTTGCTCAACACAAGTGCCTGGGCATAAAGCTGTATGGTTCATACCTTTGCATTTAAAACACTCTTTCAGCGAGCATTTACCTCCCTTGTGTTCACCTAAACACTTGGTGCACTGTTTCAGCTGTTGAGCACGTTGTTTCCGTGCCTCCATTGTTATATATTGAATACAGTACTGATCCCAATGTGATCCATTACAAAGCACATATTTTGGACTACATTTAAGTGTGACACTCTGTTTACTGCATGTTGTATTCACAGCTTGATAAGTACCTACATGAGATTTTCCATTTTGTGATTTATTGGGAATAGGTATACTCTGTAGATACTGGATGAAGGTTTGTTATCCACAGTGGGATCTGTAGGTTTATCAATATATTACGTCTTGTTCATTATGTCTCGTTCCTTGCATGCAAGAAACTGTAGCTTGTAAACCTTTGTTAATTTTTTCACAATTGAAATAGCGATTGTTGAACATAATATTTAATCATTCAATGGTTTGCAGTGACAGTGTGACCTGTACAATACTACTGATAAACTAATCACATTGCTTTAGGTCATATTTAGTCTCTAGAGATCTGAGACTATTGTCTAGTGTGATCCTAAATGTCTGTAAATCTGAAAAACAACGTCTTGGTGGCTTCAAGCTTGAAATTTTGATTACATGTCTAACCCTGGTTTTATCTCCATCAAAGTAATTGTCTGCCAAAACACGGAAGGCTAGCTGAAAAGTTGCCTTGGACCACCGGAAATGATTTAATCACAAGATATTTAGAGTACCTTAACTTAGAGATCTCATGAGTATCAGTTCTTGTATGTAGCAATGACTGAAACTCACTCATAAACTTCGAAATTATGACCTTCAAATATAGGTAATGAGAGTGTAGGAAGACTAGGTAGTGGCATGCTAGTCGTGCCAGGTGTAACAGGTGTCTGATATACGAGTATGTCAGTATCCAGGTCCACCACCATATCCCTCTGAACGAGTACGTCATATCACTCCATTTAAGGTGACAGGTGTAGATTACACTGTGCCAATAATTTTGACTAAAACAGTTGACAAAGTTCCCATCAAGGTGTACATGTGTTTGTTCACCTGAGCTGCTACTAGAGCAGTTCACCCAGAATTAGCCATTCAGAAGGTTTGCAGCCAGACTGATAATTTCAGACAATACAACGAACTTTGATGTTAGTGCTGCTTGTACAGAGGTACAACAAATACTGAATCAACACAGTTGTTGTTGGAGACACATTCCTCCTAAAGCTCTATGGCACGGCAGATTATATGAAAGAAGACAGACATTGTAAAACGTTGTCTAAGGAAGACTCTTCATCGCCAGCGGATCGAGTTTCACACATTTGTAACTGAAATAGAAAATAGAGTCAATAACAGACTTCTAACTTATGTTACCGATGATCTGGACAATTTAGAAGTGTTAAGTCCATCTCATTTACTCCATGGCAGAAGGCTCGAACCTGTTCCTCCTATGAATGATTAATAAACCATAGAGGATCCTACTTATTTCGAACCTGAGCGACTCAGATGTAAATTCAAACACCTCAGTAAATTGACTGAATGTTGGGAGAAAATTTAGTGAGAAGACCATCTCACCTCACTGTGAGAACAGTTCTATGGAGCTGGTGTTCCTGAAAATCATATGCCCTTAAGACCTGGTGACATAGTGATTATTGATAATGATGGTCCAAGGCCTCAATGGACTCTTGGAAAATTAGTGACCATACGTCCTGATGCAGATGGAACCATCAAGAGAGTTGATGTTTTGAGCAAACGTGTAGTGAATAAGCGGAAAATAAATAAACTAGCGCCGTTAGAATTACACAGAGTTGAAAACAAACGAAGTGATTCTCCGGAAACCCCACAAATTAAAGCTATTAAGAAAAAACAATCAGCAGTCGTGGTAAATGAGAAAATCAAATCAGTGTTAAGAAATGAATAGTTCACCCGCGACGAACTTTTACCCGGCACCCAGTGTGGAGAAAATTTCTCCAGAAGAAGGGTATCAGCCCCTTTCAGCCTCTTTTGAACCCCCATGAGGGACTTGAGGGACTCAACTCTGCCAGAAGAGGCAAATGGCATCTTGTTTCCTGATCAACAATTTCATTTGAAGCAGATGCAGTACCAGCGTGTACCAGTCATAGTCACGCCACTCTCCTTGCAACCATAATGTGGGTTAACGAGAGTAATTACACTCTTTACCAGCAGGAAAACTAAGGAAAACCCTGCGAACACTTTATTTACAAGTTAAGGCTATCAAAAATTGTCGTCTATTACCCAGACAATAAGAAATCGACCATCTTGTACTGGATGCTGTTGCACTGTGTAGCAAGGAAGAGAAACAATGCTGAATTCAGCAAATTCTTTATAAGAAGGGGATAGCCAGGTCTGAGGGCGCTACGCAGGGCAGATTGACTTCAGGAGAAGGGGAAGCGTGTGTCACGCAAGCATTGCTCCTGAACAAAGGAACAATAGTGTAGTGTGTTTTCTCATGCTTTTTGACAATCTCAACAATTCGTGGCAGAACGATTACTAGTGAATTATCTTTCTGTTCTGAAATTACCACGAAACTCATGGATAAATCTTGAAGAACAGTATATTGTAACAGTGTGAGTGTTGCAAATTTCTAGACTGAGTGGAGGACAGTATGACATTCCTCAAAAGACACTTTTGCTTTTATCAGGTCACCCATACCTGTCGTACATTGTGCAACACCATAGCTCATGTTACAAAGAGTAAGGTAGGATACAATCTCACTTGTTACACTTGGAAACTGCAGTTTCTTGTAGAAACGTGGTGATTGAGACTGTCCTATAGACGGCCATAATGGGAAGGCATTGAGCCCAAACATGTAAGTGTCCATCTATTCAGCATTAAAGTAAAATGCTGAAATATACGCTCCTTTGGGCCATTATGTGCTTATGCTTACTTGATTTCGCACAACCCAGGGCTGGAGCATATACGGTTATTCGAAGGAACGACCCGGTGGTGGCTGCGGGGACGCTGAGCCGTCTTAAGGTAAGCATCTTTCAACAATGTCCTTTAACCTACTTAACTTCGTATGCCCCAGATCCCTTACAGCTATCAACAATAGTAATGAAAGTTATCAGCAGCAGCAGCAGCAACAGTAATGAATTCTATCAGCAGCAGTATTGAATATCAGCAGCAGCAGCAGTAATGAATGCAGCAGCAACAACAATGAAAGCTATCAGCAGTAGTATTGAAATATATCAGCAATAGTAATAAATGCTATCAGCAACGGTAATGAAGGCTATCAGAATCAGTAATGAACGCTATCAGCAGTAGTAATGAACGCCAGCAGCAACAGCAGTAATGAACGCCTGGAGCATCAGTAGGGAAAGGCACCAGCAACAACAGTAACAAACATCAGCAGGAACAGACGCAACAGACCACCGGAGTATCAGAAGAGGGAGATAAACTGCATCACTCAGTATCAAGTACACTGATATAATTACAAGATAATTAACACTGATTCTCACACAAGTGGCTTGACCTTGTATGTTACCTTAAACATCACATGACATACTGCTTCTTCAGCTCATAGTACCTGCTTATGCTCTTATATGTTAGGTTAGGTAAGATTCGTCCGGAAATACGACAAGGAAGGATATAGGAAAACACTGGTTTGGTAATGGAGTTGTGGATGAGTGGAACAAACTCCCGAGTACAGTTATAGAGGCTAAAACGTTGTGTAGTTTTAAAAATAGGTTAGATAAATACATGAGTGGGTGTGGGTGGTTATGAGTTGGACCTGACTAGCTTATGCTACTAGGTCTGATGCCTTGCTCCTTCCTTAAGTGGAAGTGACCTGACTAGGTGGGTCACTGGGCTAATTCGTGGGGGGGACATGGACCTGCTTCGCATGATTCAGTAGGCCTTCTGCAGTGTTCCTTCTTTCTTAAGCTCTTATGTTGACGCGGATCTTAGTCATATGATGATCTGCAACTGGAGCTTTTGGTCATCTGACCGAGGCCTTCCACTGGCTTAATCCATCCATCCCTTTAAAAATTGTGTATTATTGCCATACAATATCTTTTTGTGCTCTTATATCATCTTATCGGGAATAAAAGTGGTGATAATAATATATTTGTCTCACCGTAATATTAATTCTGTGGTCCTATTTATTTACTCGTTTTGACTGTAAAAACTTTACCCTATATATGGTGACAATTTTTTTATTATTGTATATGTATGTTACCCAGTACTGTAAAAAAAATATTTATATAAAATAACGCTCCATATATAATGCCATTTTCCGTGTAACATATCTCCAGGATTGAACTGGAAGCGAACGCGTTTTATTCGTGTCAGTCAGGCAGTGGCCCAGACAGGAGCAGATGAGGTGTGTTTAGTTCTGTACCAGACGGGTGGTGACGGAGTTTACGTAAAGTCTTCGTGTTTGGGCTGTAGTTTGAGTAGGTAATTTTGGTAATTTTTTTTATTGTATACTATAGGTGTTTGTGTTTAAGTGCTCTCATGTTTATGAGTAAGGCACTAGTATGCAGAGGCCTGTTTATGCGAGAGTACTGAATGGTGTTTTGTCTGCTGGTAATTAGTCTTTCAGACAGAATTGAAGACCGGGGTGTGTATACCATGGTGCCTCCCTGATGATTTATTAAGTTTAACTCATTACTAAGAGTGTGTTAGTGAGCTAATGTAAACTGGAGTGTGGTGTTTTATTATAGTAGTTATAAGTTATATATAAGTTATTAACAATATTAGATATATTTTTATGTGGGTGAGTTTTTGTTCTTCCTTCCTAATAATAATTAATATTGCTTAATATATGAGTACATGCTGGCCCAAGGTTTGCTGTGTCTTCAGAGTAATCTTATAATCCCTAGACAGCAGTGTGAGCAGCCTTTAGGAGCCAGGAACATTTTATTTACAACATCAAAGTCGTAACAATGTACAGGTGAGAATTATTATTATAATTATTGTACAGTCCATAATTACACTTTTATCAATAATGTAATCTGGCTCTTATCGCTCCCTGAGAAATTTCAGTTTGCTAAAGTTTGTTATTCTTTCATTGTTTAGTAAGATGCATCACTGAGGGAGAAAGAGAAAGAGAGAGAGAAAAAGAGAGAGCCAGAGCAGTAGTTTCTCAGCTCGATCATTAGTTAGAGTTACCATAAACTGCGGTAGCACCATTAAGGCCTCATTACACCTTGTTAATTAGCAACTTGTAGAATATAAACCTTAAAATAGTAATGATAATAATAATAATGATAATCATAAATCATTAATATAATTTTTCGAAAGGTCTCTAGTACTAGACTTTATCCTCCTATGGTTCGTCCCTCTATGACTCACGAAATCGTAATGACACGATTGCAAACAAACCAAGGAATGGGTGGCTTGAACTCGCGGCCCAGTGGCTCATGCGTTGGTCTGGAGTTTTACGATTCACTAGCCGCGAGTTCCATCCCCACACGCAACGCGGTCCCTCTATGGCTAGCTCTTGGGTGCTCGGTTCTAGGTCCCAAAAAGGGTATATATTAGGTCGGTTTCCTCCAACTCAATTTTTTTTTCTAGACTTAAATTTCGGCAAATGAAATTTTGGTTTCATTTTCCCAAGAGTTTATCTTTATTCCATTTCCTAGGATCAATATTTTTTCTCGATTTTCCTCGTTTTTCCTAGAACTGAGATTTTATTTTTATATTTTCGTACTACGTACACGTACATATTCACATGTTTTGGTGAAATTTGGGTAATTATCTCCTTAGATGTTTTATACTCTGGTGTTCTCCAGCTACATAACATTACTTATTCTCGACTCACTTTAATCTCGACTTTATACGAGTATAAGATGTATTATTAGTAGTACACAAGTGTAACCTATTTAAGACAGGGTAAATCCTATCCATCTTATTTCTGCATTATTCTCGACTCTATTTCATATAAGGTGTATTATTAATCTCAACCTTATTTCGTTTTACAAAAGATGTAATGGTCAATATACACAGGTGTATCTCATTAAAGACAGAGTACCTATTTTAAGCATTGTATCTCCCAAGTTGTAAATTATCACATATTGTACTAAAGGTATACTGTTCATTATAAACAAGCCTAATTTATTATTAAAAATAAAGTAGTATTTTAAGCAGTATATCTCCCATGTTGTAAATCATCACATAACCACATAGTTGTGTTAGATGAATTATTAAAGAACACTGAGGTCATGTACCATGCACAGATTGATGATGGTAACTAAAAGTTTGACTTGACATCACCAACCATTCAAATCCTCTTAACTAATATGAATGGTTGTCAGGCTCCTGTTTTATATTTAGTTAGTTATTAACTATTTTAGATACATTATTTCATTTAAGTAAGTTCATCCTGGTTCAGGATTCAGTTCTGTTCATGTAGGTTCATGAGGCAAACATGTTCCTTCAGGTGCATGATGCAAGCATGTTCATCGAGATGCATGACAGCAGCGAAGGGTCATGCGAGCTCTTGGCCAGTAAGCAGTTAGCAGCTGCCTGGTTCGTCACGTCAAGTAGTGTGGTGCTGGCTGCCTCAGAGATTACATACTACCTGCTGAGCTCACCCTTCCTATTGGGTAAGCAGCTTAGTATGTAAATTTATAATTTACCAGTTTCAACTTATATAATTATATTCAATATATATAATATATATATATTATATTATATATATTATATATATATATATATATATTATTATTTTTTTTATTATCACACTGGCCGATTCCCACCAAGGCAGGGTGGCCCGAAAAAGAAAAACTTTCACCATCATTCACTCCATCACTGTCTTGCCAGAAGGGTGCTTTACACTACAGTTATATATATAATATATATATATATTTATATATATATATATATATATATATATATTTATATAATTTATATATATATATATATATATATATATATATATATATATATATCAGTGTTTGCGTATATTTCGCCTGCTCTAGCGAATTCCTTGCATTGTTAAAATCTCTAGTAAGGCTGATGCAAGAAGGGGATGAGATGAAAAGCTGTAAGCCTTCTCCCTCAAAGCTGGTTGCCTTGGATCAAACGTGTTAGCGCAAGCTACACGCCAAGGTATTGTCCAGTGTGGGTAGATTGGTAAAGCACTGCGCTATTTCGCCAGCTCTCGCGAATTCCTTGCACACATATATATATATATATATATATATATATTATATATATATATATATATATATATATATATATATATATTATATATATATATATATATATATACATATATATATCTATATATATATATATAATATATATATATATATATATATTATATATATATATATATATATATATATATATATATATACTCACATTATCAAGGCGGCACTATAAAGCAAAACATCAAAGGAAGGCATAGAAAAGGTCAAGACTACACCTCACCATCACTTCACACAACAAAGCAACACCTCACACACGCGTGACGACACCCGACTCTGTGAAACCCACCTAATATTCAACCTAAGAGTTAAGAATTATTAGTTGTTTAATGCATCATTAAATTTTTCCCAAATTTTATTAATATTAAATGAATCCAATTTACATAAACCAAACTAAATATTCATATTATTTTCAAAACTGTTTTTCATGAAACATGATTCAAATATATTCCTGTCGACCATGGATTTGCTTGACACAACTTTCTCACATTGTGTGGTCCTGTGGCCAAAGGAGAATGGGTTCGATTCCTTGACTAGTCGCAGTGCTGTTATTGATCAATACCACTTTTTCGTGGGTACAATAACATAAAATACTGCTCATTGTACTAGTACACCAAACAGTGAGTAGAATGAAATTAGCCTAGAGTCATCCACACAACCGTATGTCCTTGGGTAGCGAGTACAACATCCAGTTCTGTTGGATGCACTACTCTTAAGGATTGTGTGGTTCCGTGGATTAAGGTGTCAAAAGTTTTTGCCCACCATGAGGCAGGCCAAAATAGCATGCGTTCGATTCCTTGACTAGTCGCAGTGTTAGTGATTGATCAATACCACTTTTGTTCATTAAGATAAATATTATATATATATAGGTAGTAGGTTGGTAGACAGCAACCACCCAGGGAAGTACTACCGTCCTGCCAGATGACTGTGAAACAGAAACCTGTAACTGTTTTGCATGATGGTAGGATTGCTGGTTTCTTTTTCTGTCTCATAAACACGCTAGATAACAGGGATATCTTGCTACTCCTACTTACACTTTGGTCGCACTTCACAGACATGCACATGCATATATATATACATACATCTAGGTTTTTCTCCTTTTTCTAAATAGCTCTTGTTCTTCTTTATTTCTTCTATTGTCCATGGGGAAGTGGAAAAGAATCTTTCCTCCATAAGCCATATGTGTCGTATGAGGCGACTAAAATGCCGGGAGCAATGGGCTAGTAACCCCTTCTCCTGTAGACATTTACTAAAAAAGAGAAGAAAAACTTTATAAAACTGGGATGCTTGAATGTGTGTGGATGTAGTGCGGATGACAAGAAAGAGATGATTGCTGATGGTATGAATGAAAAGAAGTTGGATGTCCTGGTCCTAAGCGAAACAAAACTGAAGAGGGTAGGGGAGTTTCGGTGGGGGGAAACAAATGGGATTAAATCTGGAGTATCTGAGAGAGTTAGAGCAAAGGAAGGGGTAGCAGTAATGTTGAAGGATCAGTTATGGAAGGAGAAAAGAGAATATGAATGTGTAAATTCAAGAATTATGTGGATTAAAGTAAAGGTTGGATGAGAAAAGTGGGTCATAATAAGCGTGTATGCACCTGGAGAAGAGAGGAATGTAGAGGAGAGAGAGAGATTTTGGGAGATGTTAGGTGAATGTATAGGAGCCTTTGAACCAAGTGAGAGAGTAATTGTGGTAGGGGACCTGAATGCTAAAGTAGGAGAAACTTTTAGAGAGGGTGTGGTAGGTAAGTTTGGGGTGTCAGGTGTAATGATAATGGGAGCCCTTTGATTGAACTTTGTATAGAAAGGGGTTTAGTTATAGGTAATACATATTTTAAGAAAAATAGGATAAATAAGTATACAAGATATGATGTAGGGCGAAATGACAGTAGTTTGTTAGATTATGTATTGGTAGATAAAAGACTGTTGAGTTGACTTCAGGATGTACATGTTTATAGAGGGGCCACAGATATATCAGATCACTTTCTAGTTGTAGCTACACTGAGAGTAAAAGGTAGATGGGATACAAGGAGAATAGAAGCATCAGGGAAGAGAGAGGTGAAGGTTTATAAACTAAAAGAGGAGGCAGTTAGGGAAAGATATAAACAGCTATTGGAGGATAGATGGGCTAATGAGAGCATAGGCAATGGGGTCGAAGAGGTTTTGGGGTAGGTTTAAAAATGTAGTGTTAGAGTGTTCAGCAGAAGTTTGTGGTTACAGGAAAATGGGTGCGGGAGGGAAGAGGAGCGATTGGTGGAATGATGATGTAAAGAGAGTAGTAAGGGAGAAAATGTTAGCATATGAGAGGTTTTTTACAAAGAAGTGATGCAAGGAGGGAAGAGTATATGGAGAGGAAGAGAGAGGTTAAGAGAGTGGTGAAGCAATGTAAAAAGAGAGCAAATGAGAGAGTGGGTGAGATGTTATCAACAAATTTTGCTGAAAATAAGAAAAAGGTTTGGAGTGAGATTAACAAGTTAAGGAAGCCTAGAGAACAAATGGATTTGTCAGTTAAAAATAAGAGAGGAGAGTTATTAAATGGAGAGTTAGAAGTATTGGGAAGATGGAGGGAATATTTTGAGGAATTGTTAAATGTTGATGAAGATAGGGAAGCTGTGATTTCGTGTATAGGGCAGGGAGGAATAACATCTTGTAGGAGTGAGGAAGAGCCAGTTGTGAGTGTGGGGGAAGTTCGTGAGGCAGTAGGTAAAATGAAAGGGGGGAAGGCAGCCGGGATTGATGGGATAAAGATAGAAATGTTAAAAGCAGGTGGGGATATAGTTTTGGAGTGGTTGGTGCAATTATTTAATAAATGTATGCATAGTTCCTTTGTATAAAGGCAAAGGGAACAAAAGAGAGTGCAAAAATTATAGGGGGATAAGTCTGTAAGTCTGGTAAAGTGTATGGTAGTTATTATTGAAAGAATTAAGAGTAAGAAGGAGAATAGGATAGCAGATGAACAAGGAGGCTTTAGGAAAGATAGAGGGTGTGTGTGGACCAGGTGTTTACAGTGAAACATATAAGTGAACAGTATTTAGATAAGGCTAAAGAGGTCTTTGTGGCATTTATGGATTTGGAAAAGGCGTATGATAGGGTGGATAGGGGGGCAATGTGGCAGATGTTGCAGGTGTATGGTGTAGGAGGTAGGTTACTGAAAGCAGTGAAGAGTTTTTACGAGGATAGTGAGGCTCAAGTTAAGAGTATGTAGGAAAGAGGGAAATTATTTCCCAGTAAAAGTAGGCTTTAGACAAGGACGTGTGATGTCACCGTGGTTGTTTAATATATTTATAGATGGGGTTGTAAGAGAAGTAAATGCGAGGGTCTTGGCAAGAGGCGTGCAGTTAAAAGATAAAGAATCACACATAAAGTGGGAGTTGTCACAGTTGCTCTTTGCTGATGACACTGTGCTCTTGGGAGATTCTGAAGAGAAGTTGCATAGATTGGTGGATGAATTTGGTAGGGTGTGCAAAAGAAGAAAATTAAAAGTGAATACAGGAAAGAGTAAGGTTATGAGGATAACAAAAAGATTAGGTGATGAAAGATTGGATATCAGATTGGAGGGAGACAGTATGGAGGAGGTGAATGTATTCAGATATTTGGGAGTGGACGTGTCAGCGGATGGGTCTATGAAGGATGAGGTGAATCATACAATTGATAGGGGAAAAAGGGTGAGTGGTGCACTTAGGAGTCTGTGGAGACAAAGAACTTGTCCTTGGAGGCAAAGAGGGAATATATGAGAGTTATAGTTTTACCAACGTTCTTATATGGGTGTGAAGCATGGGTGGTTGAATGTTGCAGCTAGGAGAAGGCTGGAGGCAGTGGAGATGTTATGTCTGAGGGCAATGTTTTGGGTGTGAATATAATGCAGAGAATTCGTAGTTTGGAAGTTGGAGGAGGTGCGGGATTACCAAAACTGTTGTCCAGAGGGCTGAGGAAGGGTTGTTGAGGTGGTTGGGACATGTAAAAAAAGAATTGAGCGACACAGAGTGACTTCAAGAGTGTATCAGTCTGTAGTGGAAGGAAGGGGGGTAGGGGTCGGCCTGGGAAAAAGGTTGGAGGGAGGGGGAAAAAGGGGTTTTTTGTGCGAGGGGTTTTGGACTTCCAGCAGGCATGCGTGAGCATGTTTGATAGGATTGGAGACAAATGGTTTTTAATACTTGACGTGCTGTTGGAGGGGTGAGCAAAGTAACTTTTATGAAGGGGTTTCAGGAACCGGCGGGCCCGGGGACTGAGTCTTGGAGATAGGAAGTACAGTGCCTGCACTCTGAAGGAGGGGTGTTAATGTTTTCAGTTTAAAAACTGTAGTGTAAAGCAAACCCCTTTTGGCAAGACAGTGAGAGTGAATGATGGTGAAAGTTTTTCTTTTTCGGGCACCCTGCCTTGGTGGGAATCGGCCAG